GAACCAAAATAAAAAATAAAATAGATATAATATTAAGAATAAAATAAATTTATATAATATTTTAAGAGGGTTGAAAACTAGTTGAAAACAAATTGAAAACGGGTTGAAAACAGGTCAAAAAATTCATGCCAACCCAACCCATTCCATTTATTTAAATGGGTTAGACGGGTTGACCTATTTATTTAAATGAGTTGAAAATCTCAACCCAACCTGCTAATTCTGGGTTGGATTTGGGTTGGGTTATTTTTTGCCACCCCTAGTGTAAGGGTAACTTGGCCCGCAATCAAGAATAAATTAAAAAACTAATATTTTTGGTAATTTGATTTAAAGTTATAATTAAAAGGCATTTTAGGCGTTTTAATTTTTTTTTATCTATCCTCTCTCTCTTCTATCTTCGGCCTCCGACGAACACCAAGTGATACATAAAATACAACAAGATACACAATATGATGCCCAAAATACATATAATGTGATACCCAAAACACACCAAGTAAACTTTGAGACCACTGTGATACCAACTGTGGCCGGGATAGAGGAAGGGAGATAGGTAATCAGGGGGTCACAGGGACAAAGATGGGGCTAGTTGTCAGGAATGCCCACAGGTGGGTGTTTAGTGGTCGATCATCGGAGATGGCGTCTTAGTCAGACAAGATGAGCGCAAGAGGTCACTGGAGTGGTGATGGGTGTCGGAGAAGGCCACCGGATTTGGTCCTTATGTGTGTGTGTGTGTGTATATATATATATTAAAATAATTTAACTAATTAAATTGAATAATCAACACAACTTATCAATTTACCCTTTGTTTTATTTTAGTAAATAACATCAATTATCTAAAATAATTGACTCATATTAGACCTAACACTTACCACAAACTATCTAGTTCTCATTTGATTAGACCTCTATATAGGGGCCTATTCAAGGGAGAATTGATTAATTTATGATAACCGTGATATCCAATACGAAACATATAGTTCATATATATATATATATATATATATATATATATCCATGCGATTCATATTGAATCATATCTCCCTTGAATGAGTTCATATATGAGAACTGAATAGTTTGTGATAACTGTGAGGTCCAATCTCAACTATAAATCAACGGATAAATTAGGAAATTAATAATTATGGTAGTTTAAGTTAAAATTATAATTAGAGGACACATTATGTATTTTTTAAAAACTTCTCTCTCCTCTTTCCTCTCTCATCTCTCCGACCTCCAATCTCTTGCCTCCGGTGAAATCGGTATCACAATATATCATAATGAGTATCACATTGTGTATCTTTGTTTTTAAGGTTTGAATTGGTATCATAGTTGGTATCACAATGATATCACAATATATCACAATGGGTATCACATTGTGTATCTTTGTGATTACTTGGTACCTGCCGGATTAATGTTMACCGGAGGCCGGAGATTGGAGGTCGGAGAGATGAGAGAGGAGAGAGGAGTTTTTTAAAATACCTAAAATGCCCTCTAATTATAATTTTAACTCAAACTATCATTGATTATTAATTTTCTAATTTATCCGTTGATTTATGGTTGAGATTGGATCTCACAGTTACCACAAACTAATTAATTCTTCCTTAAATGGGTTCCTATATATATATATATATATATATATATATATATATATATATATATATTTGATGCAAGAATTTAGTTAAAGATTTCATTTGTATTTTGAAGAATCGACAATATGGTTCAATTAATATCAATAAATCAACATTAAAGACAAAATAAAAATCAAGAAATTATTCAACTTTTTTATATTATTTAAAATATCATTTCCCATAACCCATCTCATAAAACAAATGTACATCTTATATAAATGTGTTACAATATGTTTATAAATTATACTCCTATTAATAAAACCACATACATTTATATGGCAAAAATAACCTAACTGGACCAACAAAACTCAACCGAAATCACCGTCGCCGATATAAAACTCAACAACAAAGTCCCCTGTGGTTTCGTCACTGTGATTTCGTCCCTGTGATTTGCCCCTTGTGACCGTCTCCACTATGTGTTGGCTGGAGATGTAAGGCCCCACAAAAGGGTGGGGGAGAGGTTGGTCAGAGTGCCAGAGTGTCACTGAGATACCATCGTTCCTAACCCCCTGTAGTTTTGTGCCTGTGGGATCCGGCACCGGCAACAACACACACAGAGAGTAACTTTACATTTGATTTCCCAACCCCTCCACTAAACATCTCGGCCATGACCTTCGGCATCTCTTAAACTACCGTGGCCAAATCACAACAGCAATCAATCTATAAGAAATCACCGATTTGGTGTTAAATTCTTGGTTTTTTGGGTGCTCCACGGGCACAATGAGACCCCGTCCTGTTGGTTTGTGGGGTGGGAATAATAGAATCGCCAACCAAAAAATAGGGGAGGTGCTTGTACAAAATTTAAAGAGTTTGATGACTTTTACCAAAATATTAAAAAAAATAAAAAATTCTAAAAATAAAGAGGAAAAAATGGTTGGACGATTTTACTCCGACTCTGATGGATATTGTTAATGGTGTTAGTAACCCCGTCTTATTTTCAAAGCAAAATCTAAACTTGAGAGACAACATCTTAACTTATTAAAGTTCAAATCTCACTTTTAAAGAAATCACTAAATCTTTAAAAATAAAACTGAAGTTTACTCTAAAAAATAAAAAAATAATATATTTTTTTATTAAAAAAATATATAGCTTGTCAAATTAAAAAATACCAAAAAAAGAAACAAAAAGATATTTAAAAAAGCAAAAACAAAAAAAAAACAAAAAAAACTAACCTCTAAGTTAAACGGGGGATTTTAGGTGGCGTTCATTTTTACGAGGTGCTGAAGTCTGAAGTCTGATTCTACTTCTGATTTATAAGAGGTTGTCTTGAAGTGTGAAACCTGGATCAGTAAGATTATTTGTTTTTACGTTTGAAGTTTAAAAACTGAATCGGTCAAACTAATGCAAAAATATAAATAATTTTTTTTTCAAAAGTATAAAAGATGAATAGTTTTTGCTAACAAATCTCTTCCAACCCCCAAAATATGAACCATGTGATAGAGAGTGGATTAGAATTAAGAAGTATTAAAAGATACATATACCACTTAAAATTTCAGAGAACATTTAAACCTTTTAAGCTCTTATTTTAAAAATAAAACAAACACTCATAATACTCAAACGTCTGAATGAATCAGATTTCAGACTACCAACTACAAACCACAGGGACAAAATTTACAATCTTTCCCAAATCCCAAGGACGAAAATCGTAATTTACTCTATAATTGATTTAATATACATAACTACTTTTACATTAAAGAAACACACACACACATATTATCATTATCCCTCTCTACCGCCACCAACTCCAATAAAGAGGAGAAAAAGCAATCAACCAAATTATTCCCTTCATTTTATTATATATTTCTTTAACAAAAAACCACTTTTGCATATTAAATTTCCTAATACATTATAACAATACAAGAATCATACTTATGTAATATAGTGAGATATATCTCGATTTTAGTATTTCATTTTATTCTGTCTCTGTAGATGTTTTGATACGATTTTTATGTGGTTTTAAGAAAGAAATAATACTTTTATTTTTGAATAAAATATAAATACGAATGTATCATAAAATTTGAAAATAAATATATCAATATTAGTATTAAATTAACTGTTTTTGTTTTTTGTATAATTTTTTTTAATTCAATTTTTTAATTATAATTTAACTTAGATCTAGTAACGAATAATTTATTTTTGATTTAATAATATAATTTTTTATAAGGATAATAATTAAGTATTCTGTTAGAACTCAATGATTATCCTAATTATATTTTAGATTTTTTGTATTTAAAATAAAATGTTTATCTTGTATTTGACTATGTTTATCTGCAGTTAGTAGACCCACTCAATCGTGTCTATTTGATGAATACTTTTTCTTTCAAATGGAATATATCTTTTGATGTAAAAGCAAAACTACATCTTAGACCCGATATGTTTTTAGTTGAATTTCACTTCTCGATGATTTTCAAATCATTAATGGTTTATATTTAATTTTAGATTGTTAATCGTTTTATGTTTAGTCCATTTTTGTTCTTAACATATATTCTCTTTTATCTCATTTATACAATATAATCAAAAGTTTTAGATGTGTCGGGCCTCCAAAAAAACTGGAACCCTTGAATAACATTATATTTAAATATTTGTTTTCAGTTTACTAGAAGAGTACTCGTGCAATGCAGCGAGATATATCTTGATTTTAATATTTTATTTTTTTTATCTCAATCGATGTTATAATATAGTCTTATGTGATTTTGAAAACACGATGATGTTTTTATTTTTGAATAAAATATAAATTTGAAGATATCATAAAAATTTGACAAAATTATATCGATATTAGTATCAAATTAACTATTTAAAATTTCTCATTTTGTGTAAATTTTTAATTCATTCTTTTTTAATTATAATTTAATTTAAGTTCAATAACGAAGTAATTTATATTTGGTTTAGTAATGTAATTTTCTTATAAAAATAATAGTTAATTATTTTGTTAGAATTTGATAATTATTTTAATTATATTTTAGATTTTTTATATTTTAAAATGAGATATTTATTCTTTATCTGATTATATTTATCTGCAGTTAGTTACAGAATTCAAATATGGAGCTTTAATAAGTTGTAGTTATGCATAGTTTACTTGTAATCTTGAATTTTAAGTAATATACATTAATATACAGTATTTTATATATAAAAATGGTTTTTAAAACTTTTTGTCAAATGTTTTATAATATAGTATAGATGATTGTTGAAAATAATATCTTAAGATTAATTTATATATTATTTTACTGGAATTTCCAGTGTTTTATAGTAATTTTATTTGTGAAATTTGGAGCCATTTTGGATCTATCTGTCTCTGATCCTCGACTTTGAATTCCCTTTATCAGGACACTATATATCTGGGATGATCAACTGTAATTGCTGATTTCTCTCTCATAAAAAGGCTGCTGCTGCTGCTCTCTCTCTCTCTCTACTCGTCAATGGTGGATCAGAACTGTTATTGATCTTTCTCTTTCAAAAGGTGATCCAATTTACGCACGCAATTGTCCTCAACGACCATGGTGGTTGTCGACAAACCCTAATTAATATGGTAGTTACTTAATTATGTGATACTGGTTTTGAAATTGAGGTGAAAACTATCTGTCACTTACATTTTGGGACGTGTCATGGTTTCTATTGATTGATTGCGTTTTATGTTCAGTATGGATCCGATCCGTCGAATTTTGATGCCAATTTGTATAATTCTGTACGTTCTTTGGGTACTGTGAATTGAGTCTTTGATAATAATTGCAGGTTGATCTGAAGATATTTCTGCTGGAATTCTGTTGATTTATCAAAAAATCTCCGGTGATTGATTGCTCGATCTACTTTAGCTATACTGATTGCAGTTATTTTTTGCGATTTGGATGATTGTCTGGCATGGGATTTTGCTGTTTGGTGCCAAGATCTTGTGATGTGATGAGATTCCATTGAAAGAGACACTGGTAACTTCTACATGCCTTGGGAAATCAACTGTTTTTACAGTGAAATTTCCAGGAGCTTTTATGTTATGATAGGTTACTGTTTTCGTAATTGGTGGAAATTTAAGGTGAAACAATAGTTTGTAGGCTACAAGCCTGAAGTTGGTTGCACAATTTGGATATGAGAACCCCTTTGTTCAATAAACTTTACGTATTTTCGGGCACTAGACCGCCACGGAATTGGTTACTTCTGTGTCTTGTTAGTCTTTTTGTGCTTATTGCTTTGTTAGGTTCATCTTCTTCTGGTGCTTTCGACTCTGTCACTACTAGTTTAAAACCCGAAGTTTATACAAACTATAGAAGATTAAAGGAGCAAGCAGCAAGCGATTATTTTGAGTTAAAGAGTTATTCATCTGGAAATAGTAATTCAAAGGAGATTTGGTTATGTGGAAAGGAAAGAGAGCACTACGTTCCTTGCTATAATGTGTCTGCAAATCTGTTAGCGGGGTTTAAAGATGGTGAGGAGTTTGATCGGCATTGTGAAGTATCACAAGATCAACCATACTGTTTGGTTCGTCCTCCAAGGGACTATAAAACTCCCCTGAGTTGGCCAGTTGGTAGAGACGTGATATGGAATGCTAATGTGAAGATAACCAAAGACCAGTTTCTTTCTTCTGGAAGCATGACAAAAAGGTAATTCTTTAATTTCAAGCTGGATTAAGCCAAGTTACGAGTTGTCAAGTTTTTGCCCACACAAGTAGACCTTTGTTTACTCTGAGCTGATACCCCTCAGCCCGAACATCTTCAGTCTAATCCCACTCGCTGAAGTTTAGAGAGCTTGAGTACCAATGGTACCCAAATGGATTTGCTGAAGTGGCTGGGACTTCCATGGGATAAGCTAGAGGTCCTGAGTTTGAACCTCACATACGTTATTGCCCAGTGAATCAATAGGGTTGCATCATTGGGCAAAAATTCCCTTGGTGTGGTTTCCTGGATCTTCTAGAAAAAGGAACTTGATACCCGTTACTGCATATTCACATATTTTCTTTAAATATTCTCTTAGGTTAATGCTGCTAGAAGAGAACCAAATTTCTTTCCATTCAGATGACGGATTTGTCAAAGATCATTCTCGCCAAATTGCAGAGATGATAGGACTAGGGAGTGATGCAGAATTTTGGCAAGCTGGTGTAAGTATTGACCATGTGCTCTATAAGTTTATCTTCACTTCATTGTTGATTATTTCATTAGTAGAAGCTGGCTTCATAATACCTAAAGAATTTCCTCCTTGTGCTCCTAAAAATTTCCTTTTGTGGTCTTCATAGCTGTGTAAATCTATTTGGCATTTTATAGTGAGAGTTTCCTTTGTGAATAAATTTAACTAAATTACATTTTGGGGCTGAACCACTTTCTAATGATATCAACAGGTGCGCACAGTTCTTGATATTGGTTGTGGTTTTGGCAGCTTTGGGGCTCACTTGCTCTCACTGAAACTAATGGCTGTCTGTGTGGCTGCATATGAGTTAACTGGTAGCCAAGTTCAGTTATCTCTTGAGAGAGGTCTTCCAGCAATTATCGGCAACTTCATTTCAAGGAAACTTCCATTTCCATCGTTGTCATATGACATGGTTCACTGTGCACAATGCGGTGTTCTGTGGGACAAGAAAGGTAGTTCAACCATATGATCCATCTCCGACATACTCACATTCTGGCATAATTATAAATACGAAAATTAGTGTTCTTATATTTAATGGTCTTTTTAGTTCTTTTCCGTGCTGCTATTTTATGTTTCTTTATTATGTAAGGTCGTATGCTCTTCTTTCACTTAATATTTTTAGAAGAAGCATCCTAACCCTTCGACCAATATGGCATCCACTCTTGATTTACCATACTCTTTTGCTATAATCCCCATAGAATCAACTATTTTGATTTGGGCACACATAACATTTATTCTCTTCTAATACTGGTTTCATGAATCAGATGGACTGTTCCTTATCGAAGCTGACCGGATACTCAAGCCTGGAGGCTACTTCGTATTACATGGAACTTCATTAAGTACGAAAAAAGGAAGCATGTCTAGTCCTATTGAAGAATTCACGCGGAATATCTGTTGGAAATTGATAGCTCAGCAAGAAGAAACTTTCATCTGGCAGAAAACTATCGAAGCCCAATGCTACTCATCTAGGTGAGGCTAGTAATCCCAATGTTCATCTTCAAGGCTTTCCCTTTTGCAATGTAATTGCATTTCTTCACTTTGAAACTCTTGCATTTAACCTTTCGACTATTTTGGCATATAACTCGCCTTTCTCCTTCCTTTCAATCGTAAATTTCCCTTTTCCGTATTTGTCAAAATACAATTATTGACATTTATTTGGTTCTGAATCGTAGCAAACAGGGTGCCATTCCTCCTTGTAGAGAAGGATATGCGGATCTTCAATCGTATTATCAGCCACTTGAATCTTGTATAGCAGGGACAGCCAGCAAACGCTGGGTTCCCATTCAGAACAGATCTTCTAGTTCCCAAATAAACCCTGCTGAGCTTGAAATTTATGGAAAGTATTGTTCTTATGCAATTTTTATTCTGGTTATAAATTGAATTGTGTTGAATGGTTTCATCTGCTAGTCTTTAGTCAGCTATTGATCCTTGTTTGTTTCTGCAGGAGTTCAGCAGGATGAATTCACCGAAGACTTTGAATCTTCAAGATTAGCTTTAAGAAATTACTGGTCCTTGCTTACACCCTTGATTTTTTCTGATCATCCTAAAAGGCCGGGTGATGAAGATCCATTACCTCCATATAATATGATAAGAAATGTGATGGATATGAATGCACATTATGGGGGTTTAAACTCCGCATTTCTGGAAGCAGGAAAATCAGCATGGGTGATGAATGTCGTGCCAATCGGGGCTCGTGATACACTCCCTCTTATTCTTGATCAAGGTTTTGCCGGAGTTCTGCATGACTGGTAAGGATTACTTCGATTTCCTTTAAAGAAATTCTATAATCCATCGGTCCAAAAGAATTGCAACATTCAACTGCAAGTGGGTAATTGCCATCTAGAAATTAACTTGAACATTCAAATCAAGCAATTCTTGTAGACCTTGAAGATGGAAAATAATCAATTTAGTATGAAACTTTCCAAAATAGGAAAAATGTTAGTAATTTTTTTGGCAAATTCTAAAAAGGGAAAAATATTGTAATTCTAGTGGACTGGAATAGCATAAGTCCGTGTTCTTATGCAATTTATGGTATCAATGGGAACTTTTTATGATTAATTTTCTTGCATATGACAGAATTTCAAAATGGGCCATATATTCGTTCTGTCATAATAATAATAATAAAAGATTTGAAGGACGAAAGCATGTGCCACCCTGTTTTAAGGCCAAAAGAAAAACAAATAAAATGATGACAATGCCATGTGGGTCTCCAGAGAACTTTCCAACTTTTAATGAACTGGATGGTATTTAATGATGCTTCTCATTGTTGCAATTCGATGAACAATTTTTGCTTTCGTTTCTAAAAAGTAGTTTTCAAGAAGCAAAATGATAAATTTGCCATTATTCCATATAATTTGGGATTCCATCTTCTTCCTGCAGAATTAGAAAATCAAGATGAATATAACTTCTTTTATCCTATATTTGTGAGTGGGTCCGAAGAGAAGGGGATGACATCAGAAATAGGAACGTGGAACGGTCTTCTGGCTCCTATTGAATGAACTTCCTTTAAATAATCATAGCATTAAGAATGTGAAAAAAGAAGTTAATATGTAAGTATATAATTAACGCATATTACAACTAGCACAAATTTATTGATCATATAAATTTACATTTACAGGTGCGAGCCATTTCCCACTTATCCACGGACATATGACATGCTTCATGCCAACGGGCTCCTCTCACGCCTTATATCAGAGGGATGCAGCATCACAAAATTACTTTTGGAAATGGACCGTATCCTTCGCCCTGAGGTACTTTTTTCGTTTTCTTTTACTTCAAGCTCTCTGATTTTGGTTTGAACCATATTTTCCCATTTCACTGATCCATTGTACGTTACAACTTATCAAAACATACCTATAAAAAAGAGCGATTATAAACAAACCCCCACCCTGTTAATTTCTTCTCACATACATAGTATCAAATTTTCCTTTTTATATTTCTAATGCTCTGAATTAAGCTATAAGAACCATCACCCATAAGAAGTATTATGATTAGGAGATCAAAATTTGATCTTTTATTTTCCTCAGGGATGGGTTGTCCTTTCCGATAAACTTGGGCCCATAGAGAACACACGTATAATCGCTACACAAATACGATGGGAAGCAAGGGTCATTGATCTCGAAAATGGCAGTGACCAAAGGTTGCTTGTTTGCCAAAAGCCATTTGTAAGGAAATGATCGCTTTCACCTACAAAAACACCATTCTTGTGTATAGAACTCCGGTAATTATTCAACTCCATTCACGCAATAATCTGTGTTTTCACTTTATACATCAATGGTGATGCCGGATTTCCAGTGACAGGCGCAAGTCGGTTTTCTTCGCATTGAGAAACATAACCAATGGTAATCTAATAGACTAGAGAAAGTTTTGGTGCCACATATCTGGAGTTCTTTTTCTTGTTTCATTTTTTTCTGCAAAGGAATTGTAGCAATTCTTTCACCCCGTTTGCTTATCTGCCTCTTTCCCCCATGTGTTTCTTCATTGATTTTTGTATTTGAAACCATATTTTTGTTTCAGAATGTATTTATTATGTGATTAGATGTCTGATTTTACATCTGAACTTCATATCATATTTTTGAGTGAGATATCATTGGTCATGTGTTGTCCCAAAAAAGGAACATTTTAACATTTGATACCTGATACTGGACGAGACAAGATAAAAACTCATTGTTCCACATTTGGCGTGACATAGATTAAGGACAAGGACCGGATGGGACGATAAAAGATTTTTCTTTGTTCCACCAAAGCAGATGGAACAAGATATGACATGACGGGACAAAACTGAAAAAAAATATCTATCTACCTTCATTTGATAGAAACATCTAACATGGTGTTTGGTTTAATGGTCATCACTGCCGTCGCCAGCTACCTCCACCACCATTAGCTACCTACCATGATATGGTATTTGGTTTAAGGTTTAATGGTCACCACCACTGCCGGTGACTACCTCCACCACTACCACATTCCATCGCCACCTCTGTCTCCACTACATCAGCCACGAAAGAAATCCAACTATTATATAATCTCCATCTTATTTTAACCAAACTCACACCATAATCGTTAGATTGAAATTGGGTTAAGAAATTTGTAAAGCAATATTCATGTTACAAATTACAATCTACTTATCTATCCTTTTTTTTTATTAACTTGGATATCCAATCCGCTATGTGAGCCAACTAATCACAGGACGACCACCTACTTTGCAGATAGCCCGGAGTCACTGCATTTGAACCTCCATGGCCACAAGGGGGTTTTTATTGCTCTTTGAATTTGAACCTGAGACCTCTTGATACTTTTAATCTTTGAAGCCAAGCTCAAACCAATCAGACACCCCTTATTGTTCTACCTATCTATCCTTCTATCTCTAGTAGCCATTTTTTGACCATATCGTTCAAATATGTCTCCCAAATCAAACAAACCAACTTCTCTCAATTTCTTTGACATCACCTCAAACATAACGACACCTTCTTCGTTCGAATAATAGTGCAAGAATCTATTGTAGTCGAACCTCGGCACCTCAACTCCTCGATTCATCACTCTCTCCACATATTTTGTTGCTTCTAACGACTTCCCGGCCTTAACCAACCCACCCACAAAAATGGTGTCGAAATTAATTAACGGGTCGTCTCCTTTTCTTCCTCTTTTCCCTAAATGCCCCTGCAACAACATTACATAGGTGTGCATTGTAGGCTCACACCCTCTCCTTATCATCTCCCTAAACACATTTGTGGCTTCATTTGCCCTTTTTAACCTCAAAAGCCCTTTGATTAAACCATGATATATACTCATATCGGGTTTCTCGATCCCTTCTGCAATCTTATAAGCTTCACGAACCCGAGCTTTGCTCAAAAAACAGTAAATTAAGGAAGCCAGTGTTATGGAATCGGGTTGTATTCCTCTCTCAAGCATTTCGTCGAACACCTCCCGTGCTTGACCAAGCTGGCCCTTTTTACACATCCAACCGATCACAAGCTTATAAGTCGAAAGCCCCAAATTGTCAATCCGATTAAGCCTGATGGATTGAAAAAGCGTCATTGCTTCATTGAAACGATTCAACTTGAATAGGGTATCCATCATCTTCTCAACACCATCAATCTCTACCTCGAAACCTTCATCAGCCATTAGATTCCAAATCTTTGAAGCTTCAACCAGATCACCCACATCACAGAACCCACGTATCAAGCACTTGTAGGTGAACCCATCTGGTTTAACCCAATCTTTCATTTTCAAAACAATGTATTTAGCTTCTTCAGCAAGTTTATCCCCACAAAGAGCATCAATCACCTTATTGAATGTCCCCAAACTATACCCATAACCAACTCCATTCAATATGTGAAAAAACTCGACACATTTCTTCATCTCCCTGGCCGAAGCCAACGTTTTAAGCGCTATCGTACACGTTCTATCTGTAACTAAACGACGATGACCGATTTCTTTGATCAAATCCCAGAAGAGGTCTATGTTTCTGGCTTTTCCGACAACGTCGAGCATTTTGTTGAGGGTGATGGGAGTGTGATTGAAACTTTGGGTCTGGGAGAAATTGTGAAATCTGTAGACGGGTTTCCAGGAACATGGGAATTTGTTGCAGATTTGGAGGAAGAATTCATGGGTAAGTTGGAAGTCGCAGCGGGAGAGGGAGGTGTGGAGTCTTGATTCGGGGGAGTCTTGTTGTTGGTAGAGGATGGTGCAGACGCGGAGGAGATGTGATGGATTGACTGGTGTTAGGGTATTGTGAGTGGTGGTGTGATCGGCGGCGGTGAGGTGGTGGTGGTGGTGATGGCGGAGGGAGGAGAGGTTTACGAGAGAGCAATGGAACTGATTTCGTCTCAGCATTTTGTTGTGTTGTTGCCAAGAAAGCAAAACATTTATAAGGATTAAATACAAATAGTGATTTAAGGGTGTTTGGGATTGCTTATTTGAAATAATTTATATTTTTTTATAAAAGTATTTATCAATTTATTATAAGTTAAAAAGGTTTAACTTTTTTAAAAACTTTTTATTATTTGTTTGGCATCTGTATAAGTTGTTTATTTAAACACTAAAAAATGTTTATTATTGGTGTCACACTGGAATAAGTCAATAATTTGTTTTTATAAGTAATCACAAACACCCCCTTAGAAACTTGGAGTTGACATGTTAGAGACGGTTAGAAACTTGGAGGTTGGGTTTTCAGTAAGTTCAAGCATCTATTTGTTTAAAGATACATCCAAATATTTAATTGCTCAAAATCTGAAAGCCCCTTGGGTTTTTTTCATATTGGTTTCCTCTAATATAAATGTAATCCTAACCATTTTGAAAAATGGAGCTAAAACGTAAGATGACATGAACAAGATCTACATGCATTGTTTAAAAAGATGTGTCATAAGACACGTCTTTGTCGTTACAATTAAATCTGTAGCGTTGTTTATCACGACATGATTTTTTAAGGCGCATTGTGAAGCGCGTTTCTCACGAGGAGTGACTTTTTTTCAAATTTTTTTTATTTTTTAAAATATAATTTTCTTATTTTTTTAACTTTTGTAGTTTTACACTTTTAATTTTGACTTTTATATTTTCATGCATTCACATATGTCACAGACTTATGGTTAAAATGAATTTATAAACTCCCAAATTTTCATGCATTCATCATGCACTCATTTCATGTTGTACCCATTTCATCATGCATCTATTTCATAATCATTTTCAATTACTCCATGCACCAATTTCACCATGTATGAAACCGGTTTCATCATCATTTTCACTTACTTCATGCACCAATTTCACCATGTATGAAACCGGTTTCATCATGCACCCATTTCATCATCATTTTCACTTACTCCATGCACCAATTTCACCATGTATGAAACCGGTTTCATGAATAAAAAAAATTATTCTCTTACTGATTTCATAGATTTATTAATCTAATAACTTATGATTTTCATGAATCTTGACAATAATAAACCGAGACACAATATAACAAAATCCAATTTTTAATATTATAATTTAATTGAATATTTAAATGTTACCATTTATAAAATTTTCTTTTTTTGTTACCTTAAATTAAAATTTAATAATAACTTCTATATTTAATATAAAACAATGCAAATGATTAATATACCCTTAATGATTAAATTTAATTAGAAAAAAATGAAAATTTTCTATTGGTCAACATTAGTTTACACGGTTTCTAAGAATTGAACGGTTTTCATTTGAACGTATATATATATATATATATATGAGCGATCAAATGAAAACCGCTCTCATTTGTGTAAACCTTGTAAACCAATCTCATCCATCTATTTTCTTGATTAATGATCAAGATTAAGTTAGGTTATATTAGGAAATTAAAAAATATATATATTTTATAATCCTAAAAAGGGTAAAATGGTAACTTTGGTAGTGTTTATATTAATGACAACCATATTATGTATATCGTAATATTAATAAAACAAAATCATTTGTAAAATAATATATTAATTTTATGTTCAAATATCATAAAAAAACATTCATCGTTAAAATAGATCAACAATAAAAATAAAATATACTATAATCAATTTAACATAATGAAACTTTTTGTAATAATAATAAAAAAAAAATTACTACTACATTTCATGAACGAAATGGTTTCACAGTTTCATAAATACACAAATCAACGTAATGCTAGATGAGACATTTGTCATTTTCAAGTTTTCGGTAGATGGATCCGTTTCAATTGGTTTCACTGTTTGCTAATTAAACAACATGTTCTTAGCAATTATGAAATGGTTTCTCTGTCGTTATGCACCCATTTCATCGACAAAGTTTTTGCAATCCAAACACGTTTCATAGTTTCATCAATACACTAATCAACGTAATGCTAGATGAGACATTTGTCATTTTCATGTTATTGGTAGATGGATCTGTTTCATTGTGATAATGAAATTGTTTCACTGTTCGTTAATTACACAATATTTTCTTATCAATTATGAAATGGTTTTACTTTCTTCATGCACGCATTTCATCAGCCAATTTTTTTCAATACGAGCACGTTTCATAGAGTCAATGTATTTACCATTACATGTTTTGTTAACTATTAATTAAACAAAATCATCCAAAAAATAAAACAAAATGAAACAATTTCATCAAATATTGTTGATAAGAAAACAAGATTATGCAAGAATATTATATTACGCAGCCAGTTCCCCAAAAGTTTCATAAAACAAGTTTTTCAATGAACGTTTTCACGAACCAATCTGCATACGTTTCATAAAACAAGCTCCTCAATGAACGTTTTCATGAACAAATCTAACATGAATTTGTTTCACAGCTGATTATATTTTTACCAGTTCATGAATCTTTGTTTGAATCTGTTACTGATTTCGTGGATTAATTAATATAATAATTTTCGATTTTCATATTATTATCACTAATAAAACGAGAAACCAAATAACAATATTCAATTTTTAAAATTCTAATTTAAATAAACATTTAAATCTTGCCATTTATAAAATTTCTTTTATTATGTTACCTTAATTAAAATTTATTAATAACTTCCATATTTAATAGAAAACAATGTAAATGACAAATCTATCCTTAATGATTAAATTTAATTAAGAAAAAAAAAAGAATTTTCCTATTGGTCGAAATTAGTTTACACGGTTTATAAGAATTACATAGTTTTTATTTGATCTCGCCTCTATATAAATATATGTATATATATATATATATATATATATATACATATGGGAGGGATATTTTGCAAGTCAAAGCTTTTGTACAAACCGTGAAAATCGTCAATGATCATATATGTCTGGAGCATATTGTGTATTATGGATCCTTTTTTGGCTCTCTCTTTAGCCCTGTGTCTCTTATCCTGCTACGAAAAAAGGTTGTGATTGGTTTTAATAGTCTTTTTTTTATATATAGATATAGAAAAAAAAAGAAAGAGTGGCATTTCATCCCTAACCACAACTCATCCGTTGATTCTTCAACATCAGGGGTCCATGCATTGATGAGAAGGGCTGGGGAAAGTTTGAACCCAATTCCTACAGTGATGAATATGAGCGCAATTGAAATGATTTCATTGTTTATTTTAGTGAAAAAATGTCATGAAATTGTTTCAAATAATTCATTTAAAAAAACTATGAGCATTATCATCTTTATTTTATTAACTTTAGTAAACAAATTTCATGAAAATGCGAAATATATGAAACAATTTAATTTTTACGTAGAAACAAAAATATTTAAAAACATTTTCATCATGAAATGAATTATTTGAAACAATTTCATCATATTAAACAAATTAATGAAAAATCTCACTAAAATAAACAATAAAATCGATGGTTTGTATAAATAGTTTGGTTTGCATTTTATTCCCTCCCCTATATATATATATATATATATATATATGTGTGTGTGTGTGTGTGTGTGTGTGTGTAGCATACAAATTTATCGTCTTATGTCATACCTCTTAAATGCATCGTCCTCGCCATGATGTACGACTTAAGGCTTGACCTTACCATCATGCCAAATCTCAGGCGATTTTAAACCTTTGATACATGATGGTTCATCCAAGTCATTTTTAGTAATCGCTTGAAATTAAGTAAAAAGCGAATATATAGCTGAACAAATACATCTTATTAAACTGATTAAAAAAACAAACCCGTCATAATAATATGTATAATCAATGGCGGACTCGAGATAAGTTTTTTTGGTTGATTTAAATGGATTTTCAAGTTTTTTTTATTTTAATAAAAAAAAATTAACATTTTTGTTGATTTCGAGAGACCTTTTTGGTTGATTTCAAACAATATTTTTTGGTTGTTTGGTTAAGGTTTCTTATATTTTTTAATATCTTGGAGCACCACTCAAAGTTTAGTAGGTACATCTTTCGTACCCAAAAAAATTATACTTGCGAAAATAAGTTAATCGGTTGCACGAGACATCGCTCGGGCTTTATAAATCCCCCATGTGTATAATTGAAAACTAGAAGGGTATTCGTGTAATGCAGCAAGATACATTTCGATTTTTATGTTTTGTTTTATTTTTTCTCTTTGTCGATATAATACGGTTTTATATGGTTTTAGAAAAATGATAATATTTTTTGGGATAAAATATAAATTTGAAGATATCATAAAAGTTTGAAAAAACATATATTGACAGTAGTATCAAATGAACTATTTAAGAGTTCTTTTTTCTGTGTAATTTCTTTAGTTAATTTTTTTATTATAATTTAATTTGAGTTTAATAATGAATAATTTATTTTTAATTTAATAATATAATTTTTTATAAAGATAAAAATTTTATATTCTGTTAAAGTTCAATGATTAATTTTAATTATATTTTTAATTTTTTATATTTAAAATAAGATGTTAGTTGATTATGATTAGTTACACAAATTTAAAAATAAAGCTTTAATAATAAATTGTACTTATATATAATTTACTTATAATCTTGAATTTCAAGTAATATGTATCAATAAATTTATTTCTTGTATAAAAAATAGTTTTTAAGAATTTTTATCAAATATTTTATACTATAGTATAGATATTTTAATATAAGTTACAATGATTTTTAAGAAGATAATTAATTGGTCTTTGGTATTAATTATGGCATTTATTACCGTATCTGCCCCATATTGATGAAACCCGATGGACGATCCAGATTTAATCTTAACCTCCATAACTTGCTCGATCTTTAATTATTTGGTAAACCACCATCACCACCACCTCCACCTCCACCTCCACCTCCACCTCCACCTCCATTTCTTCTCTGTAATTTCTCAAGAAAATGTCGACTGACAAAGCCAGAGAAACTCATGTTTACACCGCGAAGTTATCCGAACAAGCGGAACGTTACGAAGGTATCAACTTCATCTCTTAACTTGACGTACATTTGTCTTCTTTGGATCGATGTAATTTTCTGTGTTGTTTTCATTCGTATCGTTATCGTACGCATGAGAAATTTCTGCGACTTTATAGATCGAAGATTTTGTGTAGGATGGTGTGGATTTACCGGATTCGCGTTTAATTTGTTGATTTAGTTTTATGACGTGATTGCGATATGTTCGGGACAATGACATTTTGGTGCAGTAATGTTGGGTTGATTCGATAAGCACACGTCTGGTTTCAGAAAGAAACATCTGGCTTATTTTGAGGGTGTTCGATCATTCTGTAATATTACAACACTGAATCATATCCAAAATCAACGTTTGTTACTTAAACGGCCAGTGGATTTCGATTATTTTTGGTTATTTTTCATTTTTATCTGTGAGTCATTTCAGTAAAGATCTAAGTTAGGGCAACATTCCACTTGAAGAAAATTTAGATATGACTCAGAATGGAGAATGGATGAACAAATACAACCTAATTAAAGATGATTAATTAATAAATGCGTGGATGAACAATTTGCCTAACATGTGTATATTGTATGTATGCATAAGCTCACCATTTGATTGTCACTTCTGAATTCTGATGTAAACTTTCTTGTTTAATTATCTCAGTATAGAAACAACTGCTCTATCTTTAATGGTAGTGAGATATATTGGTTCGTTTGGTTTGGTTTGGTTTAGTTTATGTGAACTTGTTGATATGTATATCTATCCCTGAGGGAAAAAGGAAATACAATCTAAAATAATTGCCATACCTGCATGTGGGAGCAAGAGGCATGATGATGTATTGTTGGTGGGATGACATTTTTATGTTAGTAACATTATGTCATTTTATGTCCAGCATTAGAGATGTGTTACCCATTTCGGTAACAAGTTAAAATGGAAAAGTAAATTCATTTCTATGCCATGTTTTGTTAAATTCAGTTGATTTATCAAACACTCTTTAGGCATTGTGGTACTGTTTGTAGGTCTTCATCTTCATGCTCTCTGTTAGTTCATCAACTATGTGGCCCTTTGAACATCTTATTATTCATCAATCCTTTTACCTTGAACAGCTTACATGAAACATAGGTCTAGTACATCATCTCTCTGCTAAGTTTCTGTCGGGCATCTTATTATCTCTGGGAACTTTCTTTTTGGTTGTAGATATAAGCATGTGTATACAGTATACGTAACCTGATAATCATGATACATGTGATGTTGCAGAGATGGTTGAAAGTATGAAAAGTGTTGCAAAACTTGATGTTGACCTTACTGTTGAAGAACGAAACCTACTTTCAGTAGGGTATAAGAATGTCATTGGTGCAAGGAGGGCCTCTTGGCGTATTATGTCGTCAATTGAGCAAAAGGAGGAATCAAAAGGAAATGAGAACTATGTCAATCTAATCAAAGGATACCGCCGGAAGGTTGAAGAGGAGCTTGCTAAGATTTGCAACGACATTCTCACAATCATAGATAAGCATCTTTTACCTTCTTCAGGATCAGGAGAAGCTACTGTTTTCTACCACAAGATGTGAGTCACTTATTGCCTATTATTTCCACATCTGCTAGACACAGTCCTTTAACCCCTGTATATGTTGGAACCTCCATTCTCTCTTCAAAGGCTCTTTTAGAGACTATCTGAAGGGGTTCCATGTATTGATTCTCATATGAGTTTTTCCTTCAACCATCTTTCTTGTTATAAGATTGTAGTTTACTCGAATAAATATCGCCTCCTCTACTTTGTGCTCGTATAGGAAAGGTGACTACTACAGGTACCTTGCGGAGTTCAAGACAGATGAGGATAGAAAGGAAGCCGCTGACCAATCATTGAAGGGATATGAGGCACGATCTTTTCTCTCAATACATACTATATAGATATAGTATCATATGTACATAACATTCATGCTATTTCTATCCCATTGTAGGCTGCTTCTGCGGGTGCCAGTACAGAACTCCCTTCGACGCACCCAATCCGTCTTGGTCTGGCTCTCAACTTCTCAGTTTTTTACTATGAAATTATGAACTCTCCTGAGAGGTAAAGTTTGATTCTAATGTATTAAAGACTCGTAACCTACGTCGCAATCATCCTAAATGGTTGATCATTAACATAAAAATTGCAGGGCCTGCCATTTGGCTAAACAAGCTTTTGATGAGGCAATTGCTGAGTTGGACACCTTGAGCGAAGAATCATACAAAGACAGCACCTTGATCATGCAGCTACTGCGAGACAACCTCACGCTCTGGACCTCTGATTTGCCCGAGGAAGGAGGTACTGTATAAGGCCTTTCCATACATCTCATGTCTCTTATCTTCCACAAAACCAAACCAATCCAAACTAAACTAAACACACCCAGTATATCCCACTTGGAATCTCGCCATAGAAATATGCAATTCTGTCAACTTGAAAGATTTCTTTTAAATTTGGAACCATAAGATCCTTTTCTATCCAAAAGGACATAGCCAATTGCCCTCTTTTGACTGTACTTGTCGTTTGTCTTGTTAAAAGAGTCTATAAACATAAAACAGCAGCTCAAGCGGTGACATTTTCTTAGACTGAACAAAACCAATTCAAACTAGCCCAAAGAGTAGAGCGGTTGTTTTTTGTGAAGACATTTTCTTAAATTACAGAAATCCAATAATGGAGTGAATGTCATGACAATGTATTGTTTCCTACAGGTGATGATAAGTTAAAAAATGAAGAAGGCAAAGCAGCTGAACAAGAGGTTAGCACTGCATTGTGTCTTATCTTGAAGGAACTTCTTGTTGCCATTTTTTATTGATCTCATCTATCCATCTATCTTGCAGAAGCAGTAATGGAGGGAAACAAAAGATTCAGGATCTTTTCTTTTAGGAAAAAGACCATCTTTAATTAATTATCCAGATTCTGGTTTTTTGTTCATCTTGACAGTTTCTACTTCTAACCCCCTGGGCTTTTGTTGTATCAAATTGGAACTTTTATCCTTGAATCAAAGAGATAACAATAGTTGTTGTTGGGTTCCTTTTTTTTTTTTTTTTGATTAACGTGGATATCCAACGCGCTATACGAGCTCACTAATCCCAGAGCAACCACCTGCTTTGCAGATAGCCTGGAGTCACCGCATTTGAACCTCCGTGGCCACAAGGGGATTTTTATTCCTCCTTGGATTTGAACATGGGACCTTCTGGTACTTTTGATCTTTGGAGCCAAGCTCAAACCAATCAGGCACCTCCTTTGTTGTTGGGTTTCCTTGAGGTGTGATAGATAGGGAATTCAACAAAGTTCTCTATGCTTTGTTTTAAATCAAACCCACAATTGGATTTATGTGTTTGTTAGAGATGGTCAAAATGGTTAATCACGTCTTCTTTTGAAATATATGGTATTTATATAACACGTTTTCGTTACATTTGATTTGGTAGAGTTTGAACCTTTAGACATCTTGTTAGGTTTTATTTATTTGGTCATAAATACAAATAAAAAAGCACAAATTTTGAATATTCATACAATTCGATGGCTTAACTTTTTTGAATAATCATAGTCATCTCATGGTTCAATATTGGAAATTTGAGTAGTGCATCTAACTCTCCGTTGTTCAGAATCCCGTGGAATATCGGTTTCCCTCTTCATCGATTTCCTTTATAACGTACAAAAGTTCATTCTCTAACGATTGTGTATATCACAAATGCAAGCGTCAATCGATTTCAGTGTAAATATCACAAATGCAAGCGTCAATCGATTTCAGTGTAAGTCCACAAACATCATGTCCCTAAAAGGAAAAGTTAGAAGTTCGATTCTAAAGTTATGGTGCTAGTTTGGATGGTTAGTAAATATCTAGCAATGGCAGAGAGAACGAGAATTTAAGTACATGATAAATACTCACATCAGATTGTTACTGTTACATTTATAATTTAGCCAACACATCAGATTGTACGGGAAAAACACCACCAATTCTAATTTTTCAACACATTTTGTATTATTAGATGCGTTGTCAAAGGAAATGCTAATTATTTTATCTGGAAAATTATAAAACTTAATCATATTTTTTAGCATTTTAAATCATTTTTTTCCCGAGTGTCGGAAACCATATTGCTCAAACATCATTGTACGATTCATCGTGGTCCAAGTTGATGGATCAATCCCATCAGTTGTTACACAAAAATACAAATGTGGTAAATTGTATTAATTGCTCCAAACATCATAGCGACACAACATACTAAGTTTTTAAAATAATTGTTGCATTTTCTTTTTTCGTGATGTATTTTTACATCCCATAGCTTCGGCAGATCGCTTAGCCCCGTTCAATAAAAATACTAAGTTAAGCCCAAAGATTCCGCCACCCTGTAGGAACTACGAGATTACCCCAAGGACGCCAAGTTATGCAATTTTCCATACCAAAATGGGTCGTGTTTAAGGATAGAAGTAGAGTCGTGCATAAGATAGTAACGACCCTATAGAACGACTTACGAAGTTACGATACCAAGTGTTTTGTGGCCCAAGTATGTTTTCCTGCCTGGGAAAACAGTGACCTATGACTAATGTTTCAGATGTACAATTCTGCTGACCATATTAAGCAAACTAACAAAAGCTTTAGATTCATATTCTAGTTTAAGATGGGTTTGGTTTTCGGTTCTATTGTTTTTATCTTTTGGTTTCTAATCTAGTTTTGATTTGTTTATCAAGTATAGGCTGCGGATGATACGAAAAAACATAACGAAATTGAAAATTCCCATATTCAAGTTGTGTATAGAATTCTAGCAGAAAAAGGTGTGGTCGAAAGACGGTCAAGGAACCTGTAAAACTTGATAAGGGAACATGGCTATTTACAGAGGCTATCAAGATTCTTCCTTGGAGAAATAACTTGGTGGCAAGCTAAATTCTTCGACTTGATTCAGGATCCCGCTCTCCTCATCATCTGGCTTCTGCATTTCGGCAAAAGAGAAGCATGTTACCGCTTCGTTTTGACTTTTTACAGTCAAAGGAACCATTTTTCACAAGCAAATATTGACGCCATTTGTTCTTGAGAATTTGATAACCTTATTGTTGTTCTTCTTTCATAATATAATTTAATATTAATACCATTGTTCAGTTTTTAAAATGAAGATAAGTTTTGTGTTTGATAGCAAAAGTCAAAATGCAGTTCCAATTTGGCAATGCAAAAGTCTGTCAGCAGCACCAGACATACCAGCATTTCCAAGTTGTAGAAACGATCCAGCATTTGCAGGACATCAGAAGCAGAAAACTGCCTATTGAAGCTGCGGTGGCAACAAGTAAAACAACGTAAACAGACCACTTCGATGTAAATCTTACTTACAGTTCCACAAATATTTACAACTGAAAAACCGAGTGGGGCTATTTTTTATTATTATTATTTTCTTTTGTGGNGGGGGGGGGGGGGGGACCGCAGACCTGATCGCTACCCTGAAGAGTAGAGTGGTTGTTTCTGTGAAGACCCCCGGCTTGTGCAAAGTGAAATATATACAGCTAATAGTAAAAAGAGGGGAGAGATGAACCTTCTCCGCATGTATTCCGTTAATCCGTAAAGAACAAAGTGGCGGTGTATTCCTGATGCATAAGAGATATGAAGGTTATAAGTTTAACTAGATCAGAAGATTAATTGGCAGCAGGAACTACAATATGGATGATAAATGGGATTAAAAGATATCGAGGACTACAGTTCGCTAATCACTACCAAACCAAATGAACTAGTGCTGAATAGAAAAAGAAAGCATTTGGCTTATTGAACAAATTTTTTTTTTTTTCCATATGTCAATATCCAATACCAAACTTGATTTCATGAGGAATCACTTGAATGCATGGGAATGCACCGGAAAAATGGGAGGAACACGTGGTTGTGCTCGAGGTTTTTACCATACAGCAGGGGTATTATTTGTTAACCATTCAGACGTCCAATTTTTTTTTCCCAAACATGACCTCTGCTTATCATATGGTCATATCCATTTAGACCTGAACAAACACCACCTAAGTATCACCTTGGAGTTCAAGGCTTTGACTTTTGAGTAGATGAAAAGGTTGTAAAAGATAGCTTGGACAAGTAACAATGTGAAAAGGACAATGGATGGATGGATGTTACAGGGTTCTATTGTTCAAAGTGAAAGCAGGGTTGCCCAATCATGAGAAGTCAATCTTACAAATGAGAGAGCGTAACTTTTTATGTATATATAAGAAAGCGATATCCTATAGGAAGCGCCTTTTCAGAAAGGGAAAAGACGAAATAAACCAACTAGGCAGCTAGGGTAGAGTCATCAACCTGATTTAATATAGAAACAACAAATGGTGCCCTTTTTGCACCAAAGCTAACAAACATTGTTGGTTGTCCTCCATAAATTTGTATGTATCATTAAAGCCATCTTAAGGGTCACGTCTTCATCAGCCACTACTATTCATGCACCACAACTATAAGCCCCAAGTCAAGATATTAACGTAATGCAAGTAAGAATAGAAAGAGAACAAAAAACACACAATTCAAACACGAATACACTTGACGTCAATTACTGGTTATTAATTAGTTTCGCCCTTTTGATTTTTTGGTGCATATTCTTCTTGAATCATTTCCTCACTTACATATGCACACAGCAAATACCCAACATATATTAAATACCTTCACCCTGCCCCAAAAAGAAAGAAAATCCAAAGCAAAGATAGATTTCTTAACAACGTTGCCGAAGATTATATACATTAAAAAAATGACTCATCTAAGGCTTTACAATAGATGGTAGTTTAGAGCATCAATTAGTCTTAACTTAAATTTGTGAGGGCTATATATCTTGAAACAAAGGGAAATTGAATTCGGTCGGATGGACAAAATCGATAAATATATACCTCGTAGCTTTACAGGTGGATAGATTTCAAGAGCTTCGAGCAGCTTAAGCTCCAAATCAACCTGTGATTGCTCCTAAAACACCAAACATGTGGAAATATCAGAACACAGAACTATGAAGAACAGTAAGAACCTCAAATTACTGCATTCAACTAAACTACACCAAGTAATACGCACCAAATCACTATCAACCTTAAATGAACAAATGCGATAGAAACAAGATCCCCAAAAAAAAGCACACATGTAAATATCCAGCCGCCTTCCAATTTTAACAAGATCATACATATGACAGGTCGATATGTATGGTCAACAAACGCACCGCTGCAATGATCCTAACTTTATCAAGGCTTCGAAAAACCATATATAGATTTTACTACAAGTGAGTTACAAAATTGCGACGACAAAAAGTTGCATGTTACGAAACACCGATGTAATACTTCGTTTTCGTATGAAATCCATAAGCGATCCGTCCCGTAAATTAATCAAGCACACGTACAAATACAGAAAGAAAGCGATAACCTTCCGAAGAGAAGAAGCAGACGAGTTGGGAGCTTTGCAAGGAGAATGAACTGACAATCCATCTTGTTCTTCCTCTTTACCTCCGCTTTTCTTATTTACCCCTCCATTCATCTTTCTTTTTCACGAATTACTACAGATTTTCGGCAACAATACCCTAATATCTTTGTGTATGGGTACAAATACGAGATTTGGGGATCGTAATTTAACGATAAGAAAGATGAATCAAATCAAAACGAGTCTGCTAAGATTTTGAGTAGGTTTTGATTTGTTCAAATCCGGAGAGCTAGGGATTTGGCGTTTGATCCGGATTTACCTGCTGTTTTAGAATTGGGCTTGTTGTTGGGCCATTGCTGTAATTGGACTCAAATCCTATATTTTTAATGGATTTGAAATCGAGTGATTTTAATGAAATATTATAAATATGGGATTTAAAAATAATTTATGAGACGTTTACCTAAATGCTTACCTGGTAAGCGCTTATCTTTAGGAGTCAATATTATAATTTATTTTACCAGATAAGATTGTCATACATCAAAAGAATATCGTATGCAACAAATTACCTGGTAAGCACTTATCCGGGTAAGAGTCGTCACTTACACTTACCGAATAAGACTCTTCATCTTTATCATTGTTCTTATTGGGTAAGATTTTTGACTCTTGATATGTTCATCCGGTAAGAAAAATTACTCAGTAAGCACTTACCGGGTAAACGTTTAGTAAACGACCTCTTAGTATTTTATGGGATTTTATAAGATTTTCTTTTTATAATGATTTAAAATATGTTAAAATATTTGTTCTTTTTAATAATTAATTGATAAAAGAGTACATTAATCATTTTTATGATTTATTTTTATAAATTATTTATATAAAATAAAATTTTATTCCAAATCCTACAGATCGTACAAACTATAGATTCAGAAAATCCTTCCAATTGCAAATCTGAATCCCTCAAAATCATTCTATCAAAACATTACAGAATTTAGTGGAATGCAGAATTCGATTGCATGTCAATCTTGTGTTTGGTTTAGAGGAAAGTCCGAAAACGAAATCCCACAAACACTGGTTTTAGAAATCGCATGAGAGTAGTTGGTATTTACCGGATTTTGTATGAATTTTCTTTGTAATAATGTTTTAAAATATATTAAAAACATCCATTTTGCAATAATCAATTGATAAAAGATAAATTTAATATTTTATAACTAATTTTTATAAAATTATCTATAAAAAAACTGAAATTCATTTCATTCCAAATCCTTCAAACAAGACACATCAAAGATTCAAAATTCTTTCAATTCCTAATCCTTCAACGAAATTCAAATCTCTTAAAAAACACTTTGTTAAACAGGCACGTTCTTTAGGGTATTAAAAGTACTAGAGTCACCGCATTTGAACCCCCGTGACTGTAATGAGATTTTTATTCTTCATTGGGTTTGAATTTAACACTATTATTTTACTTATCGGGTAAGATTTTAATTTACCAAAACGACATCGTATGCAACAATTTACCCGGTAAGCGCTTACCGTGGTAAGAGTCGTCGTCCTTACTTATTGGGTAAGACTCTTGGTCATTGTCTCGCTCTTACCGGATAAGATTCTTGGCATTTACCATATTCATTCAGTAAGGTAATGTTACTTGGTAAACGCTTATCCGGGTAAGCGTTTGGTAAACGACCCCTAAGCGTATGTAATAATTGATTTTACCATAGCAATTAGGGTTGAGCATCGAAACCATGTACCTGACTCTAGAACTGGAACCGCTCCGAAACCGATGTGATTGGTTCCGATTTTGGTTCCTAAAATACGAAACCGATGGGGACTGGTTCCATTTCTGATTCTCAGTTTTTTTTGAACCGTTAGCTGCTGGGTACTTGCTGGAACTAACACGCATCCACTAGTTTTTAATAAAAATTATTTTATAATTATATTTAATAAACTAAAATTAAAATTATTAAGAGCTAAACCAGTTCTCTCTGCCTTTTATGGTTACACTTATCGTTGCTGTCAAGAATTTCAATAAAATTATTTATGTAATTATTAATTTTTAGTTTTTATCGGATTAGTTTTCACTGTTTGTAGTATTTATTTCTTATTGTCGGTACTTTGTAATAGACTAATAATTACGTTTTTATAGTATTAAATGATAAAAAAAATTAAAAAAGATTAGATACCGAGTGCCTGTTATTGGACCGGTTCCAAACAGTTCCAGGATCGGTTCCTAAAATATAAAGAACCGGTGTAACCGGTTCTGGTTCCAACATTCTAGGAACCGCCGGTTCCGAGATCAATTCCATGAATTTTGGTCGGGTACCCGTTTGTGCTCGTCCCTAGTAGCAATCGACTCCCATATGCACTCGTTGTTGCAACGTTACATCTAGTAATCTTCGACAAAGTGACATGTGTTATTTTACTTAGATGGAGTTGCTTTTTTACAACATAAATGTACTTTGAGTGTTGTAGATGGCCATTATGTGCTCCCACAGTCCCGCTCATCTACATAAGGTTGAAATTGAAACTACATGGTAAGAACGGTAGGATCAACGTCAAGCTTGGATTTGTATACTTTAAGGGAGTTCATGATTCGGTTCGGTTAGTACGGAACCTAGCTACTTGAACTGAAACCAGACCGTAGGTTGAACCAAACCGCACCGAACTGAACCGAAATAAGACGGTTACCCATGGTTCGGTTCACGATTACCCGAATTTATAAAGTATATAATATACAATATAAAATGATACTAATATATAACATTCAGCATAATTATACAACTGAATAAAATAATCAAAGTGCTATAAATTAAAAATAAGTTTAATATTTTCGGTTAATGTTGATTCTTTCACGACTTCAAGTATGCATATTTAGGAGAAGATAACAAACTTCCTGTGATTTAGGACTTTTGTTGAAGCTACTAGGACCATGCTAGCTTATTCAGACTTGCCTACATTCTTATCGGTTGAAACCGTTTCTACAACAATGTTCTGCTCATAATCGATCCATTATAAATAAAAAGGCTAAATAAGACTTCACATGAGATTTTAAATCATAGAAAGCCTAACATTAAAAAAAATGTCATCTATTTGGTTGGAGATGTTTTATGTTAAATGATAGGGATAACCTTGGAAAGTTTGGGGTCGTTTACCAAACACTTAACCGGTAAGTGATTACCGGTAAAATTCAACATTATCATTTACTTACCTGGTAAGATTTTAGTTCACGAAAACGACATTGTATGCAACAATTTACCTGGTAAGCGCTTACCATGGTAAGAGTCATCGCCCTCACTTACCGGGAAAGACTTTTTTCCTTGCCTCGCTCTTACCAGGTATAGATTCTTGGTCCTTACCGCATTCATCCGGTAAGGTAATGTGACTCGGTAGGCTCTTACCCAAATAAGAGTTTGGTAAACGGCCCCTTTGACAACGAGGTTGATAAGGGCATATTCATTGGATACTCATCTACTTCAAAAGCCTATAGAGTTTATATCAAGAGAACAAAGATTATCCTTGAAAGCACCAATGTGACATTTGATGAAAAAGCTATTCAGACTTTTAAACAACACAGTTCAAGACTCAAGCTACAGATATTAGCTTCTGGACACAACTGTCTAGGACCTGAACTAAATCAGACTAAGAATTTTGAACTCACTATTTTAAATTCAAGTGAAATTGAACTCAATTTATTGTTTCAGAATTTATTTGATGATTATCTAGATTTGATTACAGATTATTAAACATCACGACTATCCAAAGATTCAGTTGTTCCTACTTTAGATGAACCAGAACCAAGTGCTATAAATTTAATAGGACCTGCTGAAGTAAATGATGGTTCTTCCTCGGAGTTACAAAGTGATAATGTCTCTAAACAAACTGATCGGACTTTGGAGCAAACACGTCAAAACTATGACTTTTCTATTCATACTACTAACCCTGTTTTTCCATACTTGTGTACTTCAGATATACAAACTGTTGAAGGGGAGCAACAAAAGGACAATCAGAGATATATGACATTCAAGATGAAAATGGCTTTCAAAATAATCAAAGTACTTGCCAACCGTACCTATCACACAAACAAGTGGACTAAAGATTATACCTTACCACCAGATTATTGGTGAACCTTGAAGCACAGTGCAAAAAAGACCTGCTATAGTCAATGAGTGTTTATTTGTTAATTTTCTCAGCAAGATATGCAGATTATTTATGATCTGGGTACAACTTTTGTATCTTTTGAGAAGAATAATGAGAATGGTATATTTGTCTCGTTTTGTAAATGTAAGTAATTTTTTGGTTCAAAAAATATTTAGGGACTTAATCATTCAAAATATGAAAGTCCATTGGTTTTTTTTCCAGATTTTTTTCATTATTTTATCATATGAACCAGTTTTATAGGTTATAAGGATGTATCTAACAGGTTTTAGAAAATCCATTGAGTTATTTAGTAGGTTTTGGAATGTTCAAAGACTTATTTGTTTCAAAAAAAATGTTTAAGGACTTAATCATTCCAAAAACTAAAGTCTATTAGGTTTTTTCAGACTTTTCTCTTTATTATATATATATATATATATATATATAGGGTTGGGTTCACGTGAGMCCAGCCTGTTTTCGTGAGACCCGTGAGACCACATTTTTACACGTAAACTTCACAGCAAAAACGCTATGAAGGTTTAAAAAAAGTCGAACCTTCACAGCAAAA